CATTTATTATCATTCTGCTAGTGAGTTTAAGACATCATCAAGTCTTTGTTTCCTGTTTTTAACTTTATGATTTTCCAGTTTTGTTATATTGGGTTTTGGGTTTTGATCCTGTGAATTTCAGCTTTCTGTGTTTTTGTTTTCCACCATTATAACAAATCTCGTTTTTTCTTCTCCCTGTGTAGGTCTGTATGATGTTTTGTTGTTTTCCTGCCATGTCCCTCCTGAAATAGTTCATTAATATTTAGAATGTTTGTTTCATGTCTCCTTGTTTGGTCATTTCCTTTTTTCTTATTGACAGTTTCCTCTTCTCGCTTTTGGGTTTTATTTCCTCCTCTTCTGTTTCTATTCCCTAATTAGCCCTCTGGATATTTATAGTCATGTTTTCATCTTTATTAAAGAGTCTGTTACATCAGCAAAAGTATAAAACCCACAAAAACACAAAGCACCAAAAAAGTTTTGGGTTTCTTCAATTTGTGGATCTTTGTTAATTATTTTATTATTTAATATTTATTTTATGTTGAAACTTTCAGCTTATTTCAGTTAGGATTATGCTTTAGCTTACTTATTTTAGACTCTTAATTTTCTTAACATTTCCTTTGTGTTTAGTTACCTCCTGTGTTATTTTTGACAGTCATGTTTCCTTGTGTCTGGAAACTCTAGAAGTTTTCCTGCTGAGCAGTGAAGTACAAAGAGTTGGTAAAAGATACATTTTTACTGATTTGCCTGTTTAATTTTAAACATGAATTCCACTAGTAACATCAGTTATGTTGCAAATGATATATTATGTCAAATGTTTTCAAAAATCTTGATAAGTCCAAAATAAATCTAGTTAACAAGGGTTTCCAGAAACTGTCAAGCATAAAACCTGCAGTATGAAAATGCATTTAACTACTATAAAGGCTTTTATATTTACAGTTCACTGTATTTGTGTGAATCTGGTCTCAGAGATGATATGAAGCACGTTCAATCTAGAAATGAATGCAAAATCTTTACAAACAGAAAAGACCTATTTATTCATCCATGAAATATCAAAATCATGTCAGATTCTAGGGCACAAATAAACTCACAATTTAAAAAATACAATTTACTTCTCAGAAACTCTCTAAATCTCAGAGCAGTGAGTAAAATTGTTTATCAGCTGTTTGGTTTAAATCTGTTCTGAAACACATGAAGCACATGTTGGAAAATTGTGGAACATTTTTGAAGTGCTGTTCATCCATCCATTTTATTCTGCTCATATTCAATTTGAAGGCATGTGGGGTCCCTGGACAGGTCACCAGTCTGCCGCAGGGCTAACACAGAGACAGAACCATCCTCACTATCACGCCTACAGTCAATAACCCACAGAGACTCGGGAAGAACACGCAAAGAAAGGCCACAGGGTGGATTCAAACAAAGCATCAATCTCTAGTAAAACTTTCTTTTAATCCTCAACAATCACTTTTTCCATTTTCAATGCAAAAATGAGTTAAAAATGAAATTGTATGAACAAAATCGCATTTAATTGGACAATCCTTCTTTGTTTCTTCACACAAAACATTTTTTCTCTGTCAGTAAACCAGAAAACTTTTAAAACTTAAGATTTGTTTGATACAATCATATGTGGACAGGTTGTTACTTTCAACAAGTTCTAATGAAATAAACGCCAATAAATTCCAAATTGCAATAAAATAAACGTCTGTAGTGTTCAATGTCTGTACATATATTAACTCTATCCAGTTTAGTTTCCTAGTTGCCCATAAACAGCTGTGAAAAGTAGTACAAGAAGTCAAATCAAAAAATATTTGTGGTCAAAAATATCCTCAAGGCACATGTAAGTATGAGGCTGGGATCATGAATGACTCCACGTCACGTGAAGAAACAGAAGTCACTGAAAGGGATTCAGGGTGGAGGCAAAGCTGTAAGACAATCTTCTTCCTCAGGACTGCTCCTCCCTGATGTGCCCACGGTGTGAAATCCCACGCTGTTCACTACTTTTCCCAGGGTCTCCTTTTCTGGTGACGAAGGGAACTCTAAAAGGAAGAATAAATAAGGGTTATGAGTGCATAAAAATCTCTTCATGATCAGAAATATTCCATAACCTTTCAGTCTGACTTCATACATGTTAATAAAAGAGGATAAAGCTTTATTTAAAATTGTTTCTGATGATGCACTCAGCTACTTACGGAGTACATGTTGGAGAGGTTGTTGAAAAGCACTTGGCCTGCGCTCACTTTGTTCCTCACTCCTCTCACGGTCCCATTCTTGCTGCAGATATTGATCCGCTTGTTGCTAAACAGCATCTCTCTCTTGGCACTGGCGTACAAAAGCAGGTCATCGGGTTCACAGCCGTTCTCGTCCACGGCTG